TCGATATCTCCCAGTCTTGGCTTCCCCAGGCTTACATATACTGTTGTTTCATTTCCCCGGCCACTTTCATCCTCGTATTACAACAGATCATGTCTCAATGGCACGAAGGCGACCGGTCAAAACCTGCACGGAATGCAAGCAAGTCAAAGTTCGAGCCCTACCTTCTCTGTTCAACTTTTCACTTCTGGCTGATGCTCCCAGCTACGATGCGACGCCAACGAAACCTTTCCCCGTCCCTGCGCTCGTTGTGCGAAGAGAGAGTTGGTATGCGTGATTGATTCCAATTTCAAGCGGACGCCAGCTCGATTGTGGGTTTCTTCCTCGATTTGGTTTCATCGCCTGGCTCACGAACAGGCGTCTACAAACCGTCACCAATGAACTTCATCGGTTGAAGCAGTCAATCAAAGCTCAGCCCCAAAAAGGATCCAGCCTGGAGTCGAATCCAAACGGCCACCAGGTACAGGGAGCAGATTCTCCCCTAGTAGGAAATTCTCGCCCATCACCAGATGGCGGATCTCCGGCGAACAGCCCTTTTGGATTGTCGGAAGGCGACGCGTGTCTTTCTGGCCTACAAGAAGCAAGTCTTGGAGATTGTCATTTCAGCAAAGAGGAGATACGAGATCTTCTCTCTCTGTACGCCTTGCAACCAAGCTGTTGATGGATTAGAGACTGATTAGCTACAGTTTCTATGTAGCGTTTCATTCTCATCTTCCAATTATTGATACAAGGACCTCCGCACAGACAATCCAAGCATCGAGCCCGTTCCTTTTCTGGACTATGCTCTTCACCGCAAGTCGGCACCACAAAGAATATGTGTCCAAATCCAACGACCTGGCGTTGCCGTACTCGAATTTGCTCAATCAAACAATCCTTCGAACCCCTCACTCATTGAATACTATTCAGGGCATTTTGATTATGTGCACCTGGCCGCTACCAGTCATGCACCAGCCAGAAGATCCGAGCTTGATGTACAGCGCTATAGCGGTACACGCCTCGCATTACCTCGGCTTATCACGTTCTGCGGGATCTATCTCTCGCTCCATGGCTGTCGTTTCACAGAGTGACCGGGAGACGATGTGGAAAACTTGGCTTGGATGCTTCGTTATCAACACCTCGTGAGTTTTCCGATCCTATGCTGGAATAAAACTGACTTGATGTGCTAAGTTTATCTATCGCCCTTGGGAATCCCCCCTTAGTGAAGAGCGCTCTTGACCTTAGCACCATCGATTCCATCCTCCGCAAACAGCAAGTTCCACAAAGACTGGCCGTTGATACCCATATCCAACAATGTATGGCTAAATACCACGATTCGTTGGTTGGAGAAGTGGGAGTCTCGGTTCGAGAGACCCTCGTGCAGATGTGTGAACAAGACTTGAATACTCTCACGGATCGCTTTATCAATTATATTGACAATTACGCCGCTTTCAATTTCCATGTCGCAAAGCTACATCTGTATACGTTGGCATTGGTCAGAGAGAAACAGCAGTCGAAACAGTATGACCATCTTGAGCTCGGGAATCATAGTATGAGATGTCAACAACTCGGCATGGCAGCTGCTCATCGCGTTATCGACATTTACTGCGACGATCTAGAAGGAGCCGGGGCGAAAAGGTCGTCTGATAGCCGCCTCATCGATCCTCACCGGGCATTACCCAAGCAATTCTTTGTGGGCGTCTTGCTGGCAGCCTTCTTTCTTCTGAGATACTTCGTGCTCGATCCCGCCTCTGATGCTGAACAAATTGCTACGTCTCGAAACAAGGTGCTCATGTTGCATGCGAAGCTCCGTCAGTTTGCGTCGCACCAGCTCGCTGAGCCTGGTCGAGCAGCTACGGTGATAGAAGTTCTTTGTCGACACGGTGATGCGCAGAGGCTAGACCCAAGTGAAGACATTGAAGACCGTGGTGTGGCTTCTATCGTATGGAATGCACTCATTTCTGCAGCAGACATTCGCGGAAAGCGGAATCTACGGACGGAATGGCTGGAGAAAATCAACCCTTCTTCACCTGCCCTAAGATCTGACAATCAGTCCTTCAGGAGCCCCGATCTCAACATTCAAGAAAATCCCGATTTGGGATCCGTGGACCTCGAGTACCCACTACCTGACAGCATTTGGGACCAGTCATTTTTGCAGATGCTGGATTTCACCGCTTACGACTTCAATGACATCGGCGCATGATCTCAGGACCGTTTCCTAACTTCGACTTGATTGCGACTTTCAAAGAGCTGCCCTTTCACCAACTTTGAGAAGCCTTCGCACCTTTTCCGAAATATCTTCCGGGATGGTAACCTTAAAAAGCGGAATGTATTGCTGTGAGCCATGCACGTCAGTCTCGAAGAACCCACCGGAGGCCTTAGGTTGCGAGTTTTGCTTCCTGGGTATGGTCGCCTTGAATGCTCGAGCTTGGTCGAACCATCCACACCAAATGATTTCCTCAGGTTTCAAATGATACAGGCTTTCGATCAAGTTTTGGTTCAAAATCTCCGAGTCTTTAATAGTCCGGTATATTTCCTCAACGTCGAACATCACGTCAAAAGTGATCTCGAAAGGTCCCGCATTCTTGGAACGCAGGACACTGGCGACATCTCCTAAGACCAAGGGACCGGGAGGTACACCAAGAGTTTTGGTTGGCAATGAACGCTTCTCCTGGGTAGTTCGTCTGTCGCTATTCCGCTGAATTGACTTAACGGAACATCCTGCTGTTCCTTCTTTGGTGGCGACGTGGTTGATATTGCTTATATCCTGGGTCCGCCATCGAAACAACCCAGTTGGAGCAACGACATCTCCGCCAATCGAATCTTCATGGGCGTACTCCTCACCTGGTTCGAGGTCCATCAAATGATAGATGTTGAACTCTGCACATGGACCAAGCTCAACGGTCTTCGTGCCGCATATACCAAAGGCGAAGTTGCCGCTTGTGGCTTTTTGTCCCGGATATGGACCGTGCTGGGATTTCAGATATCAGCGCGAATAACTCCACGACCGTTTCCGACTTACTATCGTGGCAATGCGGGCAGTGTCGGCCAGAGCAGTCGCCAGAGCCTGAGTTCCCGCCATTGCCTCGCCTATCAAGAAGATTTCGCCTGGGGCTTCCGACAACTCGGGGGCAATGTCTTTGTGCTTTCCATCATATGTATGAAAGGCAAGGTGCCAAGATTCTTGAGTTCCATGCTGCTGTCGCACGTATCCCTTCACCCGGACTAGAAACTCGTCAATCTGGTTGATGAGGATGGCTGAATGTTGTCAGTCGGATGGGCACAGAAAGCACGGAGCGTACTCACGGTCTCTCAAGCTCCCAAAGTACATGCTCCGATAACCCAGGACCTGTGCCCCTTCAAGTTTAACCTGATAAGGCACTCCCTGCATGGCGGAAGTGTAAAAACGGTCTCCTCGCACCCGGACGGTGCGTCCATCTTCAAGTTCTTCATATATTGACTGGGCAACATCAAGATAGCCGCCTGGACCAAAGAGCAAATCTGGCCTGCTCTTCTCATACAGGGTGTGTGCAGCAACTGACATTGTTGTGCATATGCTCTGGGGATGGAGTGGGCAAATGTCAAACGTGCCATCTTGGTATATCGTTGCCATCGCACCAGCAGACTTCGGGCGCGCACATAGGCCGCCGCATTCCATGATCTTGCCCATATGCATAAAACCTCCGAGAATCTCGCTCGAACAGAGCTTTTCGGAGTCGCTAAATTTGCTTCGAAAACAGAACATGGAAAATGCCACGTATGGTGCTGGGTCGTACGCTCTACCACCGATAACCAGCCTGAAGCCTGGTGTTGCTTCCATTGCCTGCACAAAGGGTTCAGGTCCCATTTGTCCTAAGATTCTTACACAGTTGTCGATGTCTGACTGTGAGATTGGGGGTACTGCTGGCCCGCAGCCGGTGATGACTCCCTTGGCGAGTCTTTGCGACACGATCGGCTTGGGAATTCCAGCGAAGATTGCGATTGTCTTGAAGTCGTACGATCTATAGCTGCTTCAGCTCACATCTTTAACAAAGGAGAGATCCAGCTTACGAATTCTCAGGTGCTGCAATGATTTCTTCGCAAATCTCAACGATCACTTTCACATGTTCGTCGCTACCGTCGCCGCCTGCAGAACTGATCAAGACCGGAACCTGGAACCGGTGTGAGGAGCTCAATATCTTCTGAAGATCTCGTTTGTAATTCAATCTTGAAGTTGTCATGCTTCCCAATGCCAGGCAATTTGGTCCGCCATCGGTCGAGCCGGAATCGAGTATGATTGCTGTCGGAACGCATGTAGAAACGCAGCGTTCGAGAGCCTTGTCGACCTCGTCCTGGTCTAACCCATAGCCAAGGTTCCCAATGGGAGTTACAATGTTGCAAAGCCGCTGCACGGAGTTGTTCGAATAATCCAATGAACCCATGGCTTTTGGTGCGATTTGGACAGGGCCCGGCAGACGGGTATACCGAGAAGACAAGACGACGACAATTGTTGTGCTAAATACTTGGGATCAGGATATCCGCAGACCACGGCCGGCCCGGTTCAGGAGTCGAGAAGTTTGAACGGAGGACCATTTTGCCTGAAGACTCTTGCTTCGCCACAGCACGACAAGCTGTATGGGTCTCCCTTGTCCAGAAGGCGAATTTTGCGGCTGTCGGCCCTCTGGCGAGTTTCGCTTGAGACCCCGTCCGGCCTGAAGGTGTAAGTGCGCATTTCGGGCTTTAGGCCGGAGTTCGCACTTGCAACGAGTTAGATATGGCACTTTCTGGTTGGGTTCCCACCCGCTCTCCGCCCAACCTGGGGTATAGTCTGGGGCGAATGCTGACTAGGCTACGATGATCCGTCGTCCATTAGAACACTGTCGGCTGCACGTCAAGATGTTCTGCTCGTATCCAAATCCGATACAGTTGGCATGCGATCCAATATAAGCCGACTGCCAGACACCCATTTTTGCGGGCAAGACAACAACAACTTTTCATTCTTCTAGACGAAATTCTATTGCATTCGTTCCTGACGACTGTGAAACGCCATGGAAAAAGACATTTCCCTGGAGACAGTTGAGCGTGCCGAAGGCCAGATGGGACTTTCCACACCGTTGACCGAGGACGAGCGCCGATGCGAGCGAAAGCTGAAAATGAAACTGGACTTCATCATCCTTCCATTGCTGTCCACAGTCTACTTCTTTGCCCAAATGGTAAATATCTGCTTGAATTCCAAGGATGTCCGCTTGAGCTGACAACTTCAGGGCCGATCTGACGTGGGCAATGCTAAAATAGCTGGAATGGACAAAGAACTTCATCTCTCATCACAGCAATACTCAAACATTGCCAGTATATTCAACGTCGGATACTTGGTATTCCAGCTGCCGGGCACTTTATTGGTACGCAAGATAGGACCTCCTTATCAGGTATGCCTCTCACGGGTGACTACCTGCATGACGACTGACGAGGACACAGTTCGGCGGAGCTATGATGGCTTGGGGCATGGTAACTGCCTGCACCGTCGCCGTACACAGCTATGCGTCCCTTATGGTCATAAGGGTCTTCGTCGGTGTCTGTGAAGCCTTTGTGCAGGGCGCGGTCTTCTATCTCTCTTTCTGGTACCCCTACAACGAACTTGCCACTCGAGGTGCTATATTCTTCTCCACAGCGGCATTGGCAGGGGCATTCAACGGACTCATTGCCTATGGTGTAGAGACGGACCTTCAAGGCGCCAATGCCTGGAGCGCGTGGCGATGGCTGTTTCTCATCGAAGGAATTCTTCCGATTGGATGGGCCTTTGTAGTCGTGACTTTTCTCCCTCCGACCCCAGAGAAAGTGAGGTTCTTCTTCAGCGAAGAGGAGAAGCATCTGATCGTCAAGAGAAGCCGGATCGCTCACAACACCGGAGAATCGAAGATCAGGCCAAAGTTGATCTTAAACGTTCTTATTGATCCCAAATTCTGGATGTCCGTCTGCATCGAAAGTGCCACCCTCTTCTGCCTCCAATCTCTATCCAATTTTCTCCCTGCTATCCTATACGGATTTGGCTGGTCGACAATCAAATCTCAGTTAATGTCGGTTGTTGTTTATGCGTGCGCCTTTGTGGCTATCATTGTGAGTTCACCAGCCTTTTGAAAGATTTGCCTCCTTTCCCCGGGCCCTTTTGTCCTACGAAGTTATTTTTCAAATAACCTCAGTAGCAGTACAGGCTGATAAAGTTCCCAGTTCTCGGCTCGTGTATCAGACAAAACCAGTCGACGTGGCCTAATCATTATCGCCAATGCCACCGTCGCCACTCTAGGTTATATTCTCCTTCTCACGCTCAAACAACCGGCAGGCCGCTTCGCAGGCGCATGTATTGTCGCTATGGGCCTTTACCCTAACGTGGTCATCAATCTCACGTGGGCTGCCAGCACGAATATCGGCTACACCCATCGCGCCACTGCAACAGCACTTATCAACTCCATCGCTCAGGCTGTTGCCATCAGCGGCAATCAGGCGTACGTTGACCCACCATATTACCGTCGTGGCCATGCTGCCTCATTGGGGATGATCGGGTTCGAGATCGTGGTCGCCACGACGATGCTGTTCGTGTTGAAACATGAGAACGAGAAGAAGAAGAGGGAGCAACATTCCGAGAAGGCAGAAGAGGTGAGGAGGAAGCACACCATTGATGATGTTGGAAACAGGCACCCTGATTATTTCTTCACCTTGTGATTATCATGTCTCCAATGAAGGGGTGTTGGTGTGGTGCGATCTAAAGGGATATGGTTTTCTTGAAAGGATCAAAAGACTGACCCTGTCTTCATCCGCTAATTTCATATCATATATTTTCTGGCCGACCCCGTTAGCCCTCTCCAGGCTCCCTTGTCCCACAGATCCATTTTCATCACTCTATCGTGTGTTGTACTCAGCACATTTGTATCCTCGTAGGGTCACGCCGCCGCTTTTAACGCTCTTACAAGAACCTCGTCACGCATTCCCATTTCTCTCTTCCTGCTTTCAACCTCTCTACCCTTCTCTCATCTCCCGTCAACCTAATACACCCGTCGTACTTCCACCCGAACTTGGCTAAATCCTTAACTCTATCTTGCTAAGCGCCCTATTTTCGATTCCGCATCGATTCCCTACCGGGCTCCTCGGCTTGGTAAATCGACCGTGACTTAGGCTGAGTGAGGATGGGCAGACTAACAAGTAAACTATACGCTACCCTGCACACTGAACGACGCGTTTCTCGTCCCTGTTGCCCTTAGTGGCGGCATCATATCCCACAGTAAGTGCGATAAACGGTAAGTGGAAATGCATTTTGTAAACCAGGTTGGAATGCCTTTTGCACGGACATTGTCGTCCTAGAACTATGGAAAGCCCGGGACAGATTTGCTGGGATAGACGGAGTTTCTATATTACACCACCAGTCCCTTGGTAACTTCCTGTCGAAAAGGCAGGAGCAGTAAGCAAATGTAGTGGAACGAACGGAGGCGAAACTTGAGACTTTGAGAGAAGAGAAATGGAGAGATTACGACGCCGTTGAGGCTAGGGAGGAGTTACAAAGGAGAAGGCAATGGGGAAGCGTAAGGCTACCTCCTTGCTATATAGGTAGTCAGCTTGGCGCTTTTACCATTTTAGGTCGCTAAGGAAGCGATTTAGAGAACTAATAAGTTAGATAGAAGCATGGCCTAAATTGCTTTTATCCTCAGGAGCACAGAATGCCATCGCATGTATCCTTGGGCTCCGACCAGCCATTCTCTGTGCGCCATGGAGGGCAAGCTCTGGCTTACCGTCCAAATTCATGCTCTCTTTCAAAGTCTAAGATGAGTCTTTTCTCCTTTCTTGCAAGCTGAAATCACCATATAACTGCTCTCTGCTTACGTGCATCACCAGCAACAGTTCGGAAGACTAAATGATATGGGTCATCGATTCCCACTACCGTTGGATGTCCATGCGTCCATCTCGGTGGCTGTTCTGCGAGTAAATCCTCGAACCGGGAATGCTAAATGCGAGGCTAGGTACCTGGGTAAGGTCCTCACGAAGCTTGGTTGCGTACTCGTATCCATCGCCAAACTAAAGGTCTCCGACATCGGGGCGGACTCTGTGCTGGATGCTTTCGATCTCAAAGGTCCAATTGACAAAGGAATTCCTCACAAATTACAACCACATGGCTTCATCTGAGATAGACGTTGCTGTCATCGGCTTAGGTACGTGAGCTGTCGTTCCCATCGCCTACCAAATACTCATCCGCGTACGCCTCTCGATAGAAGCTTTTGGTCTTGTTGCCCTTAAGAACCTGAGAGAGGAAGGTTTTAATGCAACCGGGTTTGACAAGAATTTGTATGTGGGTGGTCTCAGGCAATTCACAGAGAAAGATCAAACATCCGTCCTAGAATGTGAGCAACCTTCTTTTTGGAGACAGAATGCTACAGTATGTGCTTACCGCCATCAAAGTCACAATTGTGAACATCTCAAAAGAGAGGGTAGGCTCTTCGCGCTCATGGCGGAAGAAATATTCCCGTCTACTCACTACCGGCAGGGCTGCTTCACGGATTTTCCGTTTCCAAAAGGAAAGCATAGGCGTTGTTACGATGGCTCCTCATCGCCGTCGAATGGGTTATCCATATCATGTCTCGCTGGGGGACTAATATGTCCTAGAAACAAAATCCCACGCCTCTGCGGCAGACGTGCAGAAGTACCTTTCCGATTATGCGGCTCATTATGAGCTTCTGCCGCACATCCAACTTGGTACGAACGTGTTGAATTTGGCCAGAGACGACCAAAATAAGAAATGGGCGTTGAATGTCGTCACTGCCCACAATGTGAACAGTCTTCTCCTCTTCGACAAAGTTGTGGTGGCCACTGGGACTAACCATAGGCCTGTCGTGCCATTTCTAAAAGGCCAAGAAATTTATAAAGGCCGCATTTTGCACTCTTGGGGATTCAAAAGGCGAGTTTCTTACTGCGGCAGTCCTATGGACGTATGTTGACTTGGGTCATCTAGACCTTCTGACTTCAAGGACAAGAGGGTGATGGTCATTGGTATAGGCAATTCTGCGGCGGACACTGCTACATCGCTGGTGGGGATTGCGAAGGAGATTTTTCTGTCTCACCGGCATGGCGCATATATAGTCCGTGCTTACGAAGCAGCTAAGCCTGATCATTAGAACTCACGTCGACTTAGGTACCTAGGTCACAGCCTAATGGACAGCCGCTCGATCACGGCCTCACATACCGGAAAATCAGGATGTCGCTAACGTTGCAGAGGCACCTCCCGCAACTATGGGAAGCCATGAGTAACAACATGCTAGCCAAGATCCAGAACGCATCAGTTAAGCTGAAGCCCGAGTGGCGTATCAATCCTGCACCTTCCTTCGTTCATAACGTACCGACGGTAACGGATACACTAATACCAGCGTTGGAGAAGGGACAGATCGAGTCTGTTGAAAACGCGGAGAAAATCATTGGCGAATTTGCTGTGCAACTGGCAGACGGCAAGGTCGTCGAACTCGATACCTTCATATGATGCTCTGGGTATCATGTCAACTATAGCGTCGTTGGCGACTTTGACCCGACTCTCGAGACATGCCACATGGACGTGTCAGAAGGGGCTTGTGAAGTGGTGCCCACCCCACCGATAAAAGACCCGACCTCCAAACCAAAGCAATTCGAACCAGCGATTCCTTCAGCTGCGTTCCAAATTTACGACCTCGCCACCAGGGCTATTGCACAACTGTGGAAGCCAGATGATTCTTCACCGTCGCTGCCCTCCCGTGGCGAAATGATCGCTTGGGTTAAGAACCGCCTCGCCTGGGCAAACACGATCCTGGCTCGAGGGAGCTTCAACACTCGTATGGTATACGCCCCTGACTGGAGTGATTGGCTTGATGAAACTTCAGGTTTCCGAGTGAATGAGCATTTGGGATACGGGCGCACAGGCTGGGCGTTCTGGTTGAACAATAGAGAATTTTGCAACTCCCTCATGGATGGGATATACAGCTCCCATGTCTATCGATTGTTTGACAGCCATGGCAAGCGGAAAGCATGGGCTGGCGCAAAAGAGGCGATCATCAGTGCTAATGAGGAGGCTGAACGACGACGCCAAGAGCGCGTACAGCGCACACAGAAGGATTAATGTGGACAATGAATCGCATTCGAGTACCGACTGAGATCTGTGAAGCGCAGCGAGTGTCAGGCTTGGTTGATATGCCGTCTCATCGACAGCGCAATTTACAAGAGGATGGCGTCGACAGGAAATTTTTCGTATCGTGGCACAGGCCAAATGCCTATATAAACAGGAAATAATAGGAAATAACAGGAAATAACTCGCTGAACGGATGGAGGGACAGACATCACGTAGACTAGACAAAGCCAATCAACCCACTTGACAGTTGCCCGTCTTACAAGATCCAACTAGCCATTGTCCGAAGCGCTCTTCGAAGAGGCTAATCAATTTCCTTGACCTTCTGATGGGATTCGTAAGTTTTGGCCTCTGCAATACAATCTTCCTCTATCTTGTTGGATAATAGCAGATGATGGTCCAGCATGGGAAATGGGAAGCAAGTCGTCCGAAAAGCGGCGGTCCTGATCTCCAAATGCGGCGGGAAACTTCCTGCCGAGGCTGCTTGAAATGTAGAGACGTGTCCTCTTTGCGCCGCCAGTCGAGCAGGGAAGCAGCATGTTTGTTGTCTCCAGACGAGTCTATTTAAATCGATCTCTTCTCCGGAGGCAGAAAAATATCTCGACAAGCGGAAAGGTTTCGCGCCTTGAGTCTCAAGCCTCGGCTTTTCGACCTGTGATTTACCTCCGATCCATTCACGGTACAGTTCTCCCCACACCTTTGACCACCCAGCACCCCTTTTCCAGCAGGAACAGCTAGGGAGACGCAACTATGCATACGACCTTCGCATTCCTGGTTAAGCAACCGCACCTTTCTACCCGAGAATTCATCACGTACTATGAAACCAAACACATTCCGATGATCAACCGTCTCGCCGGCCCAGAGAACCAGCCCTTAGTGTATAAGAGACGCTACACCCACCGCGACGACCCGGCGTTCGTGTTTGTGACGGCCAGCGTCGATGCAAGCGGTGCACCCGTGTCGACCACCACCGGGTCCCATGGTGACGACGGGGCGACGCCAGATGGATCGAAAGTGGAAGAGCATCCAGGAAATATCGACTTCGACGTGATGACTGAGATCGGCTTCGCGGACAAAGAAGGAAAGGCGAGATGGTTGGCGGCTTTGAACAAGGGCGAAAATGCTCAGTTGGTCAGGGAGGACGAGGCGAGGTTTCTTTGGAGGGAGCGCACGCGAGCTGTCGTCGTGGAGGAGTTTGTGAGTTTTGGATGAAGGCTCGGGCGCGCGTGGGAGTCGAGCTGCTGCTTTGGCGAGAATGGATGGGACCGTGAAGAATGCGGTGCGGACTAAAGAGAGTTAGCATAACTGCGGAGAATGTGTCAGCCTGAGGGAGTTGGATGGTCCTCGACGTGACAAATGTTGTGTGCCATATTTTGATAAATCGTCAGTGATGACTGGGACTATCGAGAGGTAACGAGGCTTTTGTTCAACGATACTTCTGAGAACTGTTTGTGTCGCCGTTACGAGGATGAAGGAGGACTTGCTGACGCGTGTTTGGCAAACTGCAAGAGCAAGACATATCACTCCACCACCATAGAGCCCTCGCTGATAATCATGACAAGATATATATAGCTCCTCACACCCTTTCCCAGGGCTTTCGCCGAGGTTCAAACTTGCTTATTCTCCTATCCAACGACATTTCCTTCTTAGGCAAATTGAATCCTTGGCGAGAATCCGACGACACAAATGGAAGAAAAGACGTGCTGGAGCGCCGTATGGGAAGGTGAGGGATGGGGTTTGATTCAGGTTGCAACAAGGGCGAGGGGGCCGCTTTTTGGATTGAACTGGCTGCCCGTCCACGAATCCGCTCGGAACCATCGATGATGAAAAGGCTCTGGATAAGGTCCATCGGTCATGTGGAGGCATTGTAACCGTGCCGGTTAAGAGCTGCACTACTTGCTATTCGTGGAAAGTCAGCCGCTTCTCCCCTGGATCTCTTGTGGCCCCAGCGTAAGGCCAATACGTCTACACCTCGATGCCTTGTGGCATCTTGGTTTTCTCGACTTGGTCGTTACAGAACAGCTCTGTCGAGAATGTATACGCGATTATCAAAAGTTGTTACTAAATACTTCTCCTTTCGAACCTTGTCGGATATCTCTTTGCCTGGTCGCCTCCAAAATGGGTCAGGTTCTAGATGATATCTATAAAGACCCTAAATGAATCCCAGATCTTGCAAAATATTTTTTTGCAGTCTTTTAAGTAAAGGGAGCTGCTCTCGGTTAACGTCCTGTCATTCTATGACCGTTTAGTAATTATATTGGCGCAGTTTCTATCATTTTGCCCATTTAGAAGCTACGTTGTCCGGAATTTGTATCCAATTTTTGGCGCTCTACTCACCAAAGAAATTTATTTATGTCTGGGCTTCTAAATACCTACAATGCTTTTTAAGCTTCATATGTCCCAGCTCCCTTAATTTCGTTGATTATACTTATATTCCGGTATGTAATTAGTGGTGGCGAGAAGTTCAGAATGGCTAGTTTGAGAAAGAGAGGTAAGGCCATGGTTGAGGCTCTTTGAAAGTCGTCTGAGCCTCGCGATACATGTTTATTTTAGTCATTGACTCGTTATGCGGTACGGACACATGAAACCACCTCGTTCAGAATGGGCACTTTGAGAAGTCCTCCTCCACGTTCGTATTCACCGTCTCTTGAAGTGCAAGAATAAACGAAGAACCGGAAATCTATCGCGTTGAAACGTCTGTGGTTCTTTGTACTGATGAAAATGAGCTCTATTAAATCACTGTCCCAAACTAGCTACCGCTAGGGTAGTTGGGGAGAAACGAGGCTTCTCTAGCTTTTCTCCATGTAGCAGGATGATATCATTATGGAGACTTTGTCTAACTTCGTTAGAATAGATATGTACAGCAAAAATGCCTTCCAATATGACTAATAAGACGAGAGTGTTTTCATAAAGAGAATGTTGTTTGAAGGCGTTGAAAGCAGCTCCCTGAGTGCGGTGCTCCGATGTGGCCAATCAGAGAAAAATCAACTTATTCCATTAACGGTTAAGGCTAAATTTGACACTGATATCATTGGCTGAGCTTAATCCGCTAGCCGAATACAGGCTCTCGAAGATGCAGTGCTGCTTGATTATGTACTGGAAGACAATTTTAAGTCTTGGAATTGTCTGTGATTGCGTTCGTTTGTTTCGGAGGGGATGGCGCGCTCAACATGTGGGAAAGCCACCAATCGCCCAGAAGAGTCGTCGCTGGCGGGGCTGTTAGTGCCCATAGCACCCAACTACTATGCGAGTCACGTGCCGCAGCCTGAACCATCCAATCGCCGCAATACAGCTCGATCTTCTAGCGGAACAGTAATACGACGGGTAGAAATCTTGGCCGATGGCCGGGGTTTCCAAAACGACCTGTTGGATAACAAGTCCGGCAATGAACCCAATCTTGTGGCTGACCAACGAAGACTTTCATGAATGGAGCGACAAGAACTTCTGGGTAATCGGCGTTGCTCGTGAAACCAGCCGCAAAGAATGAACCCCGATAATGACTGCGTCTCTCCCCTGTAACTTCGAGGCCACCAAACAGACCTGATGTGACAAGGTTTGTGCAGAGTACGACTCAGTTTTTATCGTCAAAGCTTGCCAAGCAAACCGCCCAGATTTAAGGTCGGTTGTTTTCCAGCCGAAGTAACCAGAATTCAAGCTTCACAATTTATTCCTTCATCGCCCATTTACCTGGCAGTTCCTGCATCCACATAGACGATGACTAAGGAAACCTTGGTGCTATCGCTTAAAAGCAGCGGACGTATGGCTTCATAAAACGGCTTGAAAAAGGGAACCTGCTCACTTTAAGCATACATATAAACGAAGCAAATCTCCTCAGTGGTTTTCAAGACAGCGGTGGACTAGGCAAGAGACAATGGCTTCGACAACAATAGTTCACTCATGGATACACCACGACAGCCAGGCAGATAGGAAAAGCCTATCGTCACAGAAAAGCCAGGTCTTTCGGCATGTTGCTGCACATCGAAAATGGGCGCGACACCAGCGGACGTGCAAGTTGCGGGCCTCAGCTCTTGACCTATACCACACGTTTCAAGTTCAAGGGAAGCAGAGTTCTCAGGTGGAAACTTATTTTACTGGTTCCTGCGACCCTTTTGACACGCTGGCTGTCCCTCACACCTCTCAGATCGACGAATTGCTTCAATTTGACCACAAACACCTATCACGAGCTTTTGGCGCCTCGAAAATTCCTCAGCATCGAGCTTCAACGTTTCTTCAAGATGAATTAGCTGCCTATGGGTTTCTAGCCCGCATTGCAACCATCAAGGCGCGATTCGATTCAAACCCAGAGGTCTTCAATTTTATTCTGAAGTTGAAGGCGAAGGCGATGCAGCAACTCCGCTTGAATCTCTCTCAGACGAATGTTGCTCGTCTTCCCCGGGCAGTTATTTCTCTTTTGTATGCAGAGACTTGGTGTCAGAATCTTGAAGCTGTGACAGTTCATGTGCGCCTGCTGGAGGTTATCAACAACCATTATGGATTGAAACCCGACGATCTTATCTGCATTCTCCACTCAGATATCCAGCGTGCTACATTAACACTAGGGAGCCCACTCTTCATGATGGACGACAAGACATGGGACATCTACGAGGCGGACTACGCACCATTGCCACAGTCCGAGGGTAACGACAGCAATGGCATCCAATGGCCTCAGCTTCGACTTCTGATCAACATGAGAAACGCTCTTATGGCGTTAGACGTCCTGCAAGCGTCTGAAATTTCAAAAGCTGTCCGACAGTCTGCTACCATCAAGTTCCTTCACATCATGAGGGTTCTTCTTGATCAATACAATACGAGCTCTGACAATATCGAGCAGTACATAGCTTTGGCTGCGCTCTATCGGCTGAGGCGAGAGGCGAATATGGAGAAAATACCGCTCGGCGCAATCAATGTTTATGATGCAGGGAAGCTGATTCTCTCTAGAATACGACAATTGCTTGGACTGGTGTCCGACGATCCTCCGAGTTTGCGTCTGTGGG